GTATTCTACGGTTACTAAGACTTCATATAGTACTATAGGTACTCAAACTGATTCCCCGGCACAAACATCTACTAAAAATAAGCAGATTAAACCACCAACTCCAAAACCTAACTTTAACTTTACCATAGCATCAACATCTAATAGGACCACCTCACCTCCACCTAGTTAAACATCTAAAATAGACAAGTCCGAAAAGGCCCGACCTTTTCCAAAACAAATACCTTTAAAAAAATTACCCCCAAGTCAAAAACCTGGCTATTCCAGGAAGAAAAAAGCTGCAAAGAACATTCAACTTGCCAATCAATCCACTTCTTCTGCTTTACAGAAGATGGATTGTGAGGTAGAATTGTCTTTGCATCCTTCTGACGACGAATGCCTACTCGATTGACCTCTGGATAATGACGTTAACTTTCAATCATCTTTTCTTATTCCATAATGTCCATATGTTTCATATCATGGAACTGTCGCGGTTTGCGAAATAAGGTCTCTAATGTCAAGGGCATTATTTCAAAATATCAACCTGCATGCATTGCCTTGCAGGAGACACATTTAACGTCATCCAATGCTTTTAAACTGCGCAACTATTCTTGCTATCGGCAGGATTTTAATGACGGAAATCAACCTCATGTCACCTTTCATTATCAACTCACCTTTCATTATCAACCTCATTACAAGCTACCATAGTTCAAATACACATCAATGTTCTCATTACAGTCTGCTCTGTCTATCTACCCCCTCATGCATCCATTTCTCAAACAGATTTGAACTCATTGATACTTCAATTACCTTCGCCTTTTATTTTGCTCGGAGATTTTAATGGTCATAGTGAATTGTGGGGTAGTTCCGCCTCCAATGACCGGGGGCGTAAAATTGAACAACTCATCCACGACCATAATCTCTGTTTGCTTAATAAAGACGAAGAAACTTACTGTCATTCACCTACTCAAACCTTTCATTCAATTGATCTAGCAGTATGTTCACCTGCTATCTTACCTTTTATAAACTTTTCTGTAAGTGATAATCTTCACAACAGTGATCATTTTCCTCTCATTGTTTCATATTATACTTCGGTTCCCATGAGTTCACGACCATCAACTTTCATATTTCATCGCCCTAACTGGCCTCTATTTACAATGCTTGCTCAGATTACGGAGGATATGATAACTCGCAATACTATAGGTGCTGCTATTAATAATATAACATCTCTTATTTTCCAAGCGGCAGAAGAAAGTATTCCTAAGTCGTCAAGTTCGCTTCCTCGCCACCGCAAGCCGTGGTGGAATAAAGAATGCGCAGCTGCCTACAAAGAGCAGAGACGCTTGTGGAACATCTTCCGCCGTTATCCTAATAATCTTAACCTTTTGGCCTTTAAACGGGCAAAAGCTATTGCACGAAAGATCAGACGCAAAAGTCAAAGAGAATCTTGGTCCCGTTATGTCTCGTCCATAACATCTTCCAGACAAATCTGGTCGAAAGTTAAGAGAGCTAATGGCATATATCGCGAATTTCGACTTCCGATATTTAAGAAAACGATACCATGTATTCTTCTCCTGCAGACGTTTGTAATATGCTTGGTGATGCATTTGCTGCTGTCTCTTGTCCAGAGAGTTACAGCCCAGCATTTCAACACCATAAGCAGACCGTCGAAAGGAATAATATAAACTTTGCATCGCGTCGTCTCTGCCAATATAACAGTGATTTTAGTTTTGCCGAATTACAAAGAGCCCTTTATCGAAGTAAAAACACAAGCCCTGGTTTTGATGGTATTACATATCACATGCTCCACCACTTAGATCGGACGTCTTTGTCAAACGTCCTTGTTCTATTCAAAAGAATATGGACGGAACAAACGTACCCATCTGTCTGGCGTGAAGCAATTGTAATGCCTATTCTAAAACCAGGTAAAGACGCTAACGATCCAGTCAACTATCGCCCGATAGCCTTGACCAGCTGCCTTGGTTAAACATTTGAGCGGATGGTTAACTCTCGACTTGTGTATTACATTGAAAAAAAGCGTGGCATACCAGATTTTCAAAGTGGCTTCCGTAAGGGCCGGTCAACTTTAGACAATATTATTGAACTGGAATCCAGAATTCGTAACGCTTTTGTCCCGCGGAATCATCTTGTCTCTGTCTTTTTTGATATTGAGAAAGCATATGATCGGACTTGGCGTTATGGAATTCTCTAGACACTGCTTAACATTGGACTCCGGGGTCATTTGCCAATTTTCATCAGAAATTTCTTGCTGAGGCGCTATTTTCGTGTTAAACTTGGATCAACATTTTCTGATCTTTACGTTCAAGCGGAAGGCGTCCCACAAGGCAGCGTTTTAAGTGTCACATTATTCATCATGCATATTTCATCAGTTTTAAACTTCTTGCCCCCTACTGTCTCTGGCTCTCTCTATGTCGATGATCTACACATCTCGTGTTCAGGATCCGACATGAGAGTCATCGAGCGACAACTGCAATTAGCTGTGAACAAGATCTTAGACTGGTGTGATCAGAATGGCCACTCTCTTTCGCCATCTAAAAGTTGCTGTATCCATTTCTGCCGTAAACGCTCACTTCATAATGACCCTGACATCTCCATTCGAAACATTAATATAACAGTCGTGCAACACACAAAATTTTTAAGAGTCATTTTCGACAATAAGCTAACTTTTTTACCTCATACCAGGCTATTACGTAGACAATGCGAACAGAAACTGAACATTTTGCGTGTACTGTGTAATACATTTTGGGGAGCTGATCGCCTAGCCCTGCTACGCATATATCAAGCGCTGATACTTTCACGGCTTGACTATGCATGTGCAGTTTATGGCTCTGCAACCGCCTCCAATCTACGTATCTTAGATACCGTACACCATTCAGCTCTGCGCATTTGTTCGGGAGCTTTTCGTACATCTCCCGTTGAAAGTTTATACGTTGTCTGCAATCAAATACCATTAGATTTGCGTCGCATGAAGCTATCTCTCAGTTATTACTTTCGTATCATGTCCTCTACATATCATCCACTAAAGAATTGTGTTATTTCATCAAGCTTGGAGAGATTATATGCAGCTAGATCTTCTCACGTCCGTCCATCTTCTCATACCTTCATGGAACATTATACCATATCAATTTTATTCCCCTTTTATGATGTATAATAAATCTAATGTTGCACTCATTATCTACCAGCAACTATTCATTTCTCATCTTTACCAATATTCAGAGTATGTACCTGTGTTTACTGACGGATCAAAATCTGCGGGTTATGTAGGCTGTGGCGTCATTATCGCTGCTGATACCTATAGCTACAGAATCTCAAGTATTTGCTCCGTCTTTACTGCTGAAGCTGCTGCCATCCTCTTGGCACTGCGGCTGATTTCCACTCGTTCTAGAAGGAAGTATTGCATATACTCCGACAGTATAAGTGTTTTGAGGCAGTTGGAAAATTTTAACAGTGATACTCATCCGATTTTATGTTTTATTAATCACTTGTTGATAACCCTTCACAAAAATAGATTTCATATTTTATTCTGTTGGGTGCCGAGTCACGTCGGTATTCCAGGGAACGACTTGGCTGATTCGGCCGCAAAATCTGCTACCTCTGGTTTAACTCTATCTGTACCTTTCTCGGACACAAAAACTTATGTTCGACAGTTCATCACATCTGTTTGGTAACAACAATGGGATCTAAAAATTTATAGCAAGTTGCACTCTATAAAAACAGATTTTAACCCTTATCCTGTATTCAGTCTGCGGCATGCAGATGTAAAATTAAACCGTCTCCGAATCGGTCACACTCGGCTGACCCACCCTACATTTAATATTTTTATTTTACTACATTTATATTTTACAATACTACATTTATATTTTACAATTTTACATATACTGAAGTTTTACTCACTATTCATCATATTTTAATCATCTGCCCATGTTTTAACCGTCATCGTCTAATCTTTTTTGGTAGTTCTATTTTAACTCTTCAGGATTTGTTAGGTGACTCCAATCATCCTAACATTTTTGCGTTTCTACGCGCAATTGGTCTTATATACTGTATATAACTGTTTTATCCTATTCACAATTTTATTTGATTTTATTCATCTTTGAATGCAACTGTTTTATAATGCTTTACTACATTTACATTTTATCTGATTTTACTCACTTTTGAATACCTCTGTCACGTTGTATCTAGTTTTATAAATTCCGTGTGACTTTTAATGAGGAAAATTTGTAATATACATTTACCTTTATTTTAAAACCGTTCGTTTGGCGCAGCATGTCCTCCTTTGGACTTTGTGCCATTAAACCCCACATTCAATCAACCGTCGGTCATTTTCGCCAAATCCGATGTTATCGCCAAAGGTATCATCAACGCCAATAACCGCAAATTTTATCATATGGCTAGATTCAAGAATAATTCTATGTGTAATTATAAAGAAAAAATAGAGAGGTTGATTATTTTTATTACACATTCTTACACTTACATTTATTATTATTATTATTTGATAGATTTAATGTGATTCAGGTCAACGGAGTATACCAAGCTAACTAATATTATAATTTTATTTGAAGTTTAAAAAAATTCCTTTTGTGAGTTGCCTTGGATTGTGTTTTCGTGAATTTTAAAAGTTTTTTTGACTATGTAATTTATTATTAAAATTAGATAGCAACTTGTAAAGGCAATAATTTTAAAATAACGCCCACTGTATAAACTTTTGTATTAAAGCAAATACAAAATTCATTAAATAGTCAATGAGTTTTAAATTGTTTTTTTCCCAGAACGCAATGCCGAAATATCCTATTTGCGACCTGGAATGATGCGTTATTAGTCTATTCCGATCAGATGGTATTCCGAAATTCGATAATTTGCTTAAGCAGGAAGATCCGTGTTACAAGTCTAAAAAAATGTCATGTTCTTACTATTTAAAAAACTTGTAATATTAGTTTTTTTTCTAAGAATGTCATAGCTAATCATAGCATCTCCCCGTTTATTTCGAATCTTTTCGCTACAGTTACAGTTTAGTTTAAATTTCAGATATTTCTACTCTTAAAATATCTAACTATCTTTCAAACTATAAAGAAAAAAGTCAACTGTTTTTTTTTCAAGGATTTATTATTTTTAAAATAGTTATAATGCATATATTATTAATTAATATAGGGGAGAGTCGGGTAGCCCCGCCCACTGTCAATTTCATATGTATAGAATATTTTTTCAAGTCAATGGGCCATCGGACATTAATTGTTATATTAAAAAAAGATTATTTTCCAAGTTTCAAGTATTTATGCAGCTGTTAACATGGTAAACAATAGTTTTGAAAATATGTTGAATACAGTAGTCATGAAATTAAGAAAAATTGGTTGAATGTTTCGATTAAACTTCATTTTAATACTAAAAAATAATTTTTTCTATACATACCGCATTAAAGTATGTAGTCTTAAGTTTAATTTGCACAAGGAAAGAAGTCTATATGTGAAAAATTGTTCGAGTAATTACAAATTTACAAAAAAATTGGATTTCGGGTAGCCCCGCTCACATGAATGTCGGGTATCAACGACCAATTTTATTTCGTCGATAAATGTACGGTTGCAAAGATTATTATTTTATTACTTCAAATTTGAATGTTATAAGCATTTATAACAACAAATATTGTTGTTATTAAATGATAGAATTCACTAAAAGTATATAAATATGTAATAAATAAAATAATTTTGTGATAAAAATGATAAACGAGGTTTACCTATTGTCAATAGATTGGTCATTTTCATTTACACCTGAAAAAACAGTCAAAAAACATAATTTTTGTAACTGGGCGGGGCTAAAATTGTTCAAGATGCATATAATCATCCTACCATTGTTTGCAGAAAATGATTTCTCAGGACAATAACGTATTGTTTATGAAAATAAATTAATTGTAAAATTCAATAGCTTAAATTGTTGCTGAAATTACGAAATATATCCGATTTTATCACTATATTTTAAAACTCTTCAATGATATAGTATAACCACCTACACTCGGCTGACAGCGATCGTGTAAGTTACAAACATCAATTTTTTAAGAATTAGTTTTATTTTATTTATTTTTTTAAAAAAATCTTTTATATAAGATTTAAAACATTTACTTTTTTAACGCTACGGAAAAATTTTAATAAATCTATTTAAAAGAGTAATAATATAAATAATAATTTCTATATTTTAATCTATAAATAACTCCATATTTAAAAGAGAAATAATATAAGTGATAAATCTATATTTAAATCAATCAATAAATAAATTTAATTTAAATTGTGAAAGAGAGAAAAAACAGCGTCTCTGAAAGTAATCAGAAATGAGTGTTTGTTTGACATATTGTGGAAACCTTGGAGCAGGAATCGAAGCTGTAAACATTCTTGCTTTAACAGAGTTTTATAAACGTTTTTGTTTAAAATTCATGCTTTGTTTATTTTTTTACACTAATTTAAACTTATTGTGGTAGTTGTATATACTCATAAATTTTTCGAAATCTTTAGATTATTAATAGCAGAAAACCATCTTATTTTACATTTAATTCAAGCTTTGCCTAAATAAATTTAAAAATCAGGTTTTCTTAATTCGCTAAAAGATATTTTAAATAAAAATCAACTCTAGCTTAAAGAAACGCTTTTTCTGTCCAATGAAATATAACATCATTAAAACGAGATTTGAAAATAATTATTAATTATGACATGCATCGAGATTATTAATTATGAATTGCAATAAGAGAGAAATAAGCATAAGTTTTCTTGATTTAAAAAAATGCTGGAGTAATCCACATTTAATTTGTTTTTAGTTTTAGATTTATTTTTAAAGAATAGTATGTAAACATCTTGACATTTTCAGAATATTTCTGCTAACTACTGACCTCGGTTTCTTTTAGACGGGGGCCCCCACCAGGGGGGGAGGTGGGCGCACGATGCGCCCACTTAAAGCTTGGGGGGGNGCCCACTTAAAGCTTGGGGGGGGGGGAATTTTTACACTAAATAAAACGAATAGTTTGGGGGGGAATTTAGAATTTGCCCAAGAATGCGCGCAAGAGCTTGGGGTGGGGGTGGGGGCCACTGCTTTTAAAAGATTGCAACTTTTGTACCGTTCGTAATTTTTTTCAAAATTGTTTAATAAGTAATTTTTTTAAATAAAATATTGAAACAATATCACTTTTTCAAACAATTTTTGTAAAGTTTATTAAGGGTTGCTCATTGTTCAAAATAATGAAAGGTTTTCGTGCAAAGTGGAACACATTTTTCAACACAGACCAATTTATTCGTGACACTTGCCAATTTTATCTGACTTTGGATATGGTGGTATTTTTTTTAAAAAAATTGTTTAAAAAGCAATTTTTTAAAATAAAATATTCAAACAATATCACTCGGTCAAAATGTTTTGTAAAGATTATTAAGGGGTTGCTCATTGTTTAAAATAATTGAATTAAAGTTTTTTAATGGAATAAGCGCATTTTCATGTACTATTAAGTTAAGAAAATAGAAATACTTAAAAGTAGCACCTAGAAATATAACACCTAGACTTCTTAAACTCAGATTCCATAGTTCTACGGAATATTTTCTTTTTTCTTATGTTTTTTGATGAACTTCGTTTATAGCACTAGATATCGCATGTTTGCGTAGGTAAGCTCGTTTCTATGTGGATTTAGAATAGAATATTCTGGTTTTTGGTTACCATATGCTTTACATTCAATCCAATCAAATCAGATCCCTCAATACTTTTGACAATCAAGAAAAATTAAATTTTGCTTTTCCGCTGATCTCTGTTCAATTCAGTGGTCCAGAGCTACCGTGCCATACTATGAGAGAAATACCGCTATTTTTTTTTAAATCTTACATTTACAGTCGGCAGCTTAGTGAAGGAATTAGGTTAGCCAACCGGAGTGTTAACGCGATCAAGTGAAAATAATCCCGCGAGCCACTAATGGAATGTAATCGACATTTTAGTGATTGCTGATTTAATCAAACTAAACTCATTTAATTTTACAGTCTACTCTCGATATCTCAAAGTTGAATGGATGCTAAAAAATTTCGAGTTTTCGAGATAACAAGTTGAGGACCAAATTTGTTCTAAAAAGTAAAAAAAAAAAAAGCCTAAATCGCATTCTAAAACGTAGAAGCATGGGGTATCAGAATAAGTGCTATTAAAGATAATTGTATAATAGTTGACAATAAGTCTAAATGCAAAGATAACTTTATTACTGAAAGCAATACAAAAATAATTATGCATCAAATATAAAAGAATTCGTTTACAATAAACTTACATTAAAAGAGTTAATTAAAAAAAAACTCTACCATCGTGGCCTGGAACTTTTGCCGCCCTTTCTATTATAAGTCAATCAAATAGTGGTTTTTATAAATTAATACACATAAATAAATTATTAAGTTATTTAATCAATATTAATTAATACACAGAGTAAATTTTTTTAGACATATTTGTATGCACTCGTAAACATATTTATATAATATCTACTCTTCTAGCTTTCATACTAGAAAAATCGTGTATAATGCTCTCAAAATTTATATTATTTGTAATTTCTTGTTCTATTGACAATATTGCAAGATTTTGTAGTCTTAATTGACTCATTGTAGAACGAAGATAATTTTTTATCAACTTCAATTTTGAAAAGCTTCTTTCGCAACTAGCGACACTGATTGAAATTGTTAAAAAAATTCTTAACAAAAAATTACAATGTTGGGAACAGAATTTTCCAACCTATACTGCTGAATAAATTTTAGGGGAAATAATAAATACAAGAGGGCCCTCCTCCCCGTTTTTCCAATGTTTTGCCTCTTCTTTTAGTGTAGGTACAGCCATAAAAACCTGGATCCTTTTTCTTTCAATATGGAACTGTTCTTTATCAATGTCAATCAAGTCATTTATTTGACATTCAAATTCTTCATTTAGTAGGTTACACGGTATTATGCACGAATATTTTCTTACAAGGCCATGCAACTGATCGAAGCGTTCTTTTATTTCCTTTATAATTCTGTCCATAGATGAAAACATTTCTCTTCGTACTTCTTCTTCTAAGGATAGCCCCACGTCTCGCGAATTTTCCCCACTCATATTTTTTCTCCTTCTAACTCGAAGCTCAGTCGATATCTCCAACTCTTCACAAATTATTTTGGCTGCTATAACAGCGTTTTGTACTAGCGTATCTCTTTGTTCCATGAAATGTGTTTGCAAAGAATTTAGTTTTATATGGCATTGGTGGACATTTAACCCTTTATTTGCAGGTATTTTTGAGCGTGATTAATTTCCAAAAGGACGGGTTCCCATAAATGAAGGTAACATAGAAAAGAAAAAGATTGCATAGAATTGAGTAATACTCCAGCATCTGATCTCGTTTTACTATTTTCTTCTTCAGATGTCAATTTTTCCAAAACGCTTAAAATGTAAAAAAAATGTTTTTTTACTATAGTTACCGCGGCAGCTCTAGCGCTCCAGCGAGTTTCTACACTGCGTTTAACACCTTGACCAGTGACAGAAAGTAAAACATTCCATCTATGAGTGGAAGAAGAAAACAACGAAAACAACTGTTCGATAGTTCCAAAAAATGTGATGGAATTGATAGCTGTAGAAGCTGCGTGTAAACATGCCAGGTTTAAAGAATGATTTGTACATGCTACAAATTCTGCATTTGGATTTATTTCTTTAATACGAGTTTGAACACCGCTGTGCTTTCCTGCCATGACGGCAGCATTATCATAAGCCTGTCCTCTGCAATTTTTTATATCTAAACCGTCATTTTCTAATTTCGTTAAAATCATATCTGTGATTTCACCAGCAGTTTTTCCTTTAGTTTCTACAAAGTCAATAAACGATTCTACAACTTTAACTTCGCTACCATCAATAACTACATATCTAATAATTTGACTGGTTTGATCTTTGTGTGAAATGTCAGGAGTGCTGTCAAATATAATACAAAAGTATTTAGCCTGCTTTATTTGATCCATAATTGTTTTTCTGACTGCGCCTCCCAATAGCTCTATGAATTCGTTCTGGATCTTCGGCGACAAATAAGAGATACTATATTTATTACCCATCTTAATTTTTACTACGTGTTCTCGTAATACTGGGTCGTACTTAGCCAATAAGTCAACAAGCTCAAGAAAATTTCCTCTATTTTCCATTGAATCGATGTTTTCCTGATGAACACTTTCACGATGTCCTCGAAACGCCAAATTTTGTTTTGCTAAGAATCTAATTATATCAAGTATTCTTGTTAGAATTTCCTTCCATTTTTTTATTTCTTTATCAATATTCTGTTGTTGTAGTTTGTCAATAGTTGCGCCACGTCCAAGTCTTATTTCTAATTCCTTCCATTTGGAATATGATCGAATGTGCAGTGGACTCACCTCATGTTGACTAATTTTGGGATTAAGTTTCCACCATTTGTTAAAACCATTTTCCGTATTAAAACCTGCTTGACAAAGATTATCAAACAGTTTGCAGCAGAAACAATAAATACTTTTCTTCGATGGTGAATATACCATCCACGATCTTAAGAGCTTTTCGCCATTAGGCAAAATTTGAAAAAACCAGTCCTGACTCAGTTTTCTTGTTTCACCTTTGGCTTTGATTGTATTATTAGGACGTTTTACTCCTTCGCTGAAGTCGGCGTCCAAATTTTGAATTGCAAAGGGACCTTGACGTACCAGAAATACTCTTGTATTGTCGTCAATTTTGTTAGGCCATAATCCAATATCTTTCATAGAAATAGACGGAATAATTTGTGCAGCAGATTCTTCATCAGAACTTGATGAACTTTCTACTTCTTCGCCAGTGTGTGAAGCAGGTCTTTCCTCTTGAACAACATTGGAAAATGTTTTTTCGCCTTCGAGGGCTGCTTCTTCGCCCGTATTTGAGGCAACAATACTAAAAGAACTAGAAGTTGACTTATGGGAGATATATTTGAGTAGTGCTCCAGTATTTTTAGTCTGTATTTCCTCCCTTCTCTTCCTTTTCTTTCTAAATGACGCACCACTTTCTTTTACTCGTTTCATCCTAGGGATATATAATAAAAATATAACTTGTCGAAATAAATAGTATATTATGTATAGAAAACGGCAAAGTCATTTTACTACTCTGAATAGCATTTAGAATAACATCTATATCTATAATACGTAATATAATATACTTACCTATAATAAACTCTCCAAATGCACTGGCACCCTAATAATTTGTTTCACTCTTCACTGTTAAAAGATTGAATCGCGAATGAACAAAATGGTTTATAAGCAATTTATCATTCCAAATACAATTCTTCAAAACGGACTGAGTATATTTATCTATTTGCGATTCCTGAAATTGTAACTTCGTCAGTATTTTTGTTTTGTCTCGTTTAGATTTTGTTGTTTGAAAAAGATAGTTCTTATGCCGGCGCCCTAATGCTTTGCAGACCTAGCAGACCGGCGGTCTGCTAGGTCTTCCGCCTCCCCGCCTAGACCGCCTTCCGCCGGCCCTGCTTTTCAAAAGAAAAATCGATTATTTAAAAAAATACTGATATATCACTTCAAAGTAATCATATAAACTTTTCAAAAGAAATGACATTTATAAACTGATATCAAAAAATTTTAGTTAGGAAAAATTGCCGAACAAAATCGTAAAGATCCTTTTACGAATACAACGAATTTTAATGAATACAATAAAATAAAATTATTATCTTGTTCTTGAATTAGAATTCAAAATTTACACTATAATGCATTTATATACACCGAGGAATAATATTCGAAATCATATAGTTAATCATAATTTATATAAACCAAATATTAAACTTATAATAATCATAATAATCATTTATTATTCAAGAAAGAAAATAAATATGAAATGAATAAGTTGCTTTTTACAACTATAAGTAAATATAAAAAATGCCGCCCCAAGGTAAGTGCCGCCNCCCCCCCCCCCCCCCCCCCGCCCCCCTAGGTACGCCACTGGCTCCTAGTCATCGCTTTTCATGTTCTCGGAGCATTTCATAAAACGTTTTAATGTGTTAGAAGTATTCAAGTATTTTTTCTTTGAATGCTGTGAGTTGATCGAAAAAATTCGTTTTTTACTTCGAAAAATATTCGACATAACAAGATTTTGATAAGAAACTCTTCAACATAGGAACTCAAATTGATATCAGATGGATATCAGCCTTTCATCCCTTCAGTGGGTCGATAAATGAGTACCAAGCATGCTTGGGAACTAAACACAGGGGGTTCCGCTTTATCAATAATAGCAATATTGTTAGGATTCGATTGTAACGGTTCCAGAAGCGTATACCGTTAGGTCAAGCACGAATGCAGCGGGTACATTTTTGGATAATTTAAATTGTAGTTACAAAGCAAAAGGAAATTTCCTTGCTTTCAAAAAGTTTTTGGAATAACCCTTTTGAACTTTTATAAAGCCATATTACTAATTTTAAAATTAGTTTTATCGTTTCAAATCATATGCAGTTTTTTAGTTCTTTAGATCTAAACCCTAAAAGACACGCATTTTATCAGATAAGTTAAAAAATCAGTTTTATCTCTGATTGCTGTTTACTACCTAAATTATTATATTTTCTAATATACTTTAGTTGTTTATTATATACTAAATACTCAGCCTGCAATATTATAAATGTCTTGGATAATTTGAAAACGTACGATAAAAATGAATGAAATATCTATCTTGAAGATGATGGGATTATTAAATATCAGGCATGTCTAACTTTTTTTCTATTTAAATTAATCATTGATGATAACACCGAAGATCAAAGAGCAAACGTAATTACATTGAGATATCATTTCAACATACAATGAAGCCATCTTATAATAAAATAGTTGTAAGTCATTAGCTATTAGCTTTGTAATAGTTTCGTGACTGAAAACTAAGAAAAAAATTTTAGTTAAAAAATTGGATGAAGCAAGTCGTTTGAAACATAATTGAAAAGAAAATTCATGCATTTTTTTTTAACGAACTATTAAAAAACGAATTAAATTTTTCTTCAAAAAATTTCTATTGAATAACATTTTATCATTTACATGTTTTATAATTATCATTTCATATAAATTCTGCATTTTCTATAATTACTATTCCATATAAATTTTTTAAAAAAAGTCTATTTTTATGGGGCACCATTAACAACAAATCGTCAGTCCTTAATTCGATCTGCTAACTGGGATTAACTTGTCTATTTGCAATTAAACGAGGTATTAGATTTACCTTAATTCATTAGAACTACCTTAATTCAAAAAAATGTTAGAACTTTTTACTTTATTTTTATTGTAATCAACTAAAAAGTGCCAGATAACTGATTAGCAGAAATAAATATGCGAAATATATGCAAAAATAACTGATTCTATATAAAGATATCTTTATTTACATATATATGAAAAAACTAGTTATATTCCTTGTTTAGTTTTTAAATTTAAATGTTTGTATTTTTGAAAATATTTGGCCTATTTCTTCTAAACAACTAAAATAGTTCATGCTATAAATATTTTAATTTATTGTATTTTGAGATATTAGGCGTACTTGTCATAGGTTTCGAAACTACCGTTAATTACCACTTTCAATTCTACCATTTCAATTAACTAAAATTTTCATTTAAGTTTTTAAATATATCAATAAAATATTTTGTAAAATACCGACATTTTTTGAATATTTTTCCTCGGATTGGCACACCTAGAAGACCATTAACATGTCAAAGTACACATAAGAAATGATGAAATAGACCTTCAGCCGCGATTTTCTTAAGAATAAGATGAAAATCCTAAAAAGAGAAAAGCAAGATATAACAGAAGTTTCGTCAGTGGTCGGAACAACTTAATTTCTTTTAGTTAACTGCAACTAATTTATTAGAATTGCTAATGTGCTAAATTTTGATGTTGAAGGGAAAAAGCCTGAATTAATTTATAGAATTTATCTATTGCTTATGAACTTAAAAGAAGCTTTTAATAACACAATTGAGCGAAGACGGAAGTGAAGTAGACGTACAACACGATGACATTGAAACCCAAATACTTATCGAGTAGTAACAAAACAAAGAATTTGATTCTTCGAATTACTTTCTTTTAAAAGAAATATCATCTTCAATGCTTCTGATTCTTATGGGATACATTTGTTTTTTAACGATGTTGAGGACGCGTTTAATTTTATTCCGGATTTAAGTGATACGCAGAAAATAATATTTTGTAAAACTTTACTTGACGGATCACGCAACGTAATTTAACATCGTGGTTATTGTTTAAGAATGCTTTATTAAATGAGTTTAGTCACCAATTAAATGCCGCCGAAATTCATCGTCAATTAAGTAATCGTAAAAAAAAATCTACACGAATCTTTTATGGAATATTTTTTTGCCGTACTCGCGTGTAATTGTAAAAACCCAATAGATGATTTTTCTTTATTTAATTTTACTATTGACGGTATTCCCAATTCCCCCGCTAATAAATCCATTTTGTATGGCGCGAAATCTATTCCTGAATTTAAGGATAAATTGCGTATTTATGGAAAAAATAGTTAATGATAGAAACAAAAAATCTTTTTTCCTCGCTTTTCCCCTGAATTTCCCAAACGTGAGAGTAGTAATTTAGTACGTGACAATGTACGAGGATATGATTTTCAAAATGATTTTAAGTTTGATAAACAGAAAACTTGTTATAATTGTGGTGTGACTGGACATATGTCACGTTTGTGTCCTGATAAACAACGAGGTTTGAAATGTAACTTAAGTAATGAAATGTAACTTGAAATGTAACTGTAAGAAATTTGAACATATTGCTTCTAAGTGTAATAATAAACCTATTAATCAAACTGCAATTACACATCTTTGATGTCTAAAACAGTTAATGTCAATAATACTTCATTTAATGCTCTTATTGATACTGCATTAAGTAGAAAGTCTTGAGAGGCTTGCATCGGTATTCTGCTTATGGGTTAGAGATAAATTTTTCAAAATGTACATTTTTAACTAGAAAAATACAATTTCTCGGACATATAATTGTAAAATGTACCCGTCACCTCAAAAAATTAAAGCTGTACTTAATTTTCCCGAACCCAAAAATAGAAAGGATTTACAATCATTTCTTGGTCTAGCTAGCTATTTTCGAAAATTCATATTAAAATTCTCTATTATTGTGCACCCTTTAACTGAACTTTTGAAGAAAAATCGTGAATTTAAATTTACCGAGAATGAAATACAAGCATTTAGTAGTTTAAAACTTAAATTGTCTTCTCCACCCGTTCTTAGTATTTACAATCAAAACGTGGATACTGAAATACATTGCAACATATTATAATCCAAAAAACGTTAGAAGATAATGCGGTATATTTTATGAGTAAGAAAACGTCTGATGCCGAAGCAAAATACAGCAGTTATGAGCTCGAAGCTATTGTACAGGCTTTAAAAAAAGTTTATTTTCTAGGGAAACATTTTAAAATTGTGACCGATTGTTTGCGATGACATTAAATAAAAAGGATTTGTGCTCTGGGCATTACAGCTATTACAGGATTGAACACCGTTCTAAAGTGTATATCATGTTGACGCGCTAAGTAGATATCCCATTATGATAGTCTCATTACGAAAAGCTCAGGAAGACGATAGTGAAACGGTTAAAGAACTTTTGAAAACCCTATGATGGCTTTTTTCTTAAATCTGGCATACTATATAAATTTGTTGATGGTGAAGAACTTCTTGTCGTTCCTGAAAGTATGCATTATACGAAATGCTCACAAACATTATTATTAATGGCGGGAACTTGGAACTATTGGCCACAGAACTGCTAACTCCCTTTTCGTTACCCAGTGGGCTCGCCCACGTCACACTACCACAACCCGTTTATAAGACGGATCACATTCACATAGATAGAGAGAAAGAAGCATCCATGCCTTGCCCGGGATTCGAACCCAGAACCTTTCTGATGCAAGGACAGTTCCCTGCCCCCTTACACAGGCCGGTCGGCTCGCGGACATTATGCCTCTAAGCGTACTGGAGTATCATTGAAACATCAATTCCATATCCCTAAAGTGAAAGAAAAAATAAACCGTTTTATTAAAAGCTATGTTCCTTGCATTTTAATAAATAGAAAGTGTGGAAAACAAGAAGGACTATTACATCCTATCGAAAAAGAATCCATTCCTCTGCACACTTATCATATTGATCATTTAGGACCATTGCCTACCACAAACAAGAATTATAAATTCATATTTGCAGTTATAGACGCTTTCACAAAGTTTTGCTGGTTATACCCAACAGAAAGTACAGATGCTACTGAAGTTATTTCAAAGTTAGTCTCAAAAATATGTTTTAGGAAATCCATAACGCATCTGCATTTACTTCCAAACAGTTTCTTGAGTATCGCAGTGCTGAACAAATAGAACACTACCCTGTAACTACTGGTTTACCGAGAGCAAATGGACAAATAGAAAATTTAAATTCTACCATAATTTCTGTAATCTCCAAAT